AAGTACGGCTGAAAAAAAAAAAAAAAAAAAATGTTATTTTAGCTTTATTACTTCCTTTAAAAATGGCTCTCAAGCCAGACATTGCTTTCACTTTGCTGCAAATTATACTTAAGAATGAGTCTTTAAGATGCCCTTCCTCACTGATTCTGAAGTGCCAATCTTCCAGTCCCTGTGCTGCCTCAACCTTAACACCTTCTTTGTTTCTTTTTATTCCCTCTGTTGTCCCTTCAGTCTCTCTCTCGCTTCTCTGCCTTTACACACTAAGTTAGCTTATTTTAGGCAGGATGCAAAATAAATATTCATCCTTTTTTGTCACCTTCTTCTACTTAGCCACCAGCTGCCTTGAATATGCAACATACTCCCAGGTGCCTTGGATTTGCAATTTGCATCTCCTGCCTCAGTTTCCTTTCTGCCAGCTCTCTTGCATATGAATAATTCTTATGTCTACCTCAAACCTCTTCCCCTGCAACAACTTTAGCAACTACTATTGTCAATTTGAAATCTCATTGTGAGGGTCTAGTTGCCAACTTAAAATAAATGTGCAACTCCTTATCTTGATGTACTAGAAAGGCTTGTGTGCTACTAGTGACCTTTAGAGTGATGCCATTTGGAATTTTGTACTCCTGGTAAGGTCACCTCTGGTGGCAAGGTCATGAGTGAGGCTTCCAGACTAATAGCAATCTAAAAGCAAAAAATGGAAGTCCCCAATGGTGGAGTAGGCAGATGAAGAAGAAATACTTCACAATTGCTGCAAAGGCACATTAAAGATTGCAGCAGAACAGAAGCCTTGAGTTGTCTAGGTTTTCTTTGTCATCAGATTAAGGTTTCCTTCCCATGAAGTATCATACAGTTGCTAATGTGCAATGGCATCCTCAAGTGCAGGTGTTTTCCATCAAAAGCAAGCCCTACAATTATAGGCAAGTGACAATGGGGGCAAGTGCTGGCAATTACCAGAAGCCCCTAGTCATGGACCTATACAGAGGCAATCATTGCCTCTGTATAAGTCCATGGTCATTTTGTACTTGGAACTGAGACAGGTGTGCACTTTGGCAGCTGCGATCATGACTGAGAAGGCCTATTTAAGATCCACTCTAGCCCGCTCCCTATATGGGATGATCAGGAAAGATGCCTTAAACATAGTCTGTCTCACTCCACCTGACTGGAAAACCAAACCCAATGGAATCACTCTGTCTGTGGTCTGAATCAAGAAATAAAGTCAACAACCTAAAATGTCTACACCTGATGGACAACCCTAACAGTGGCTGACTGGAGTGAAGGACAGTATTAAATCATGCAAGTTCTATGGCCACTAGTACTGAAATTGCTGTAGTTGTGGACCAAGTGTGCAGGTGAACATAAACTCACAGAAGCTACACATTCTTTTGGAAAGAAAAGGCTGGAAAAAAGAAGCAAATAAAAAACAAAACACAAACAAACAACCAGACACTTCCATGGCATTAGATTTGCTGTGAAGACCAAGATCACTACTCAGATGCCAAAATGTTCAGTTGGCATCAGTAAGCATCTTGTGACCCTTTGGCTTCCACTGACCAACAGGCAACATGCAACAGTCAGTGCATATGCCCCAACCCTTGAAGCAGATGACAAAACAAAGGAAGAATTATTCCAAACTTGACCAAGTCCTGGCATCAGTCCCCAAAGAAGATTAAATAATTTCTCCTTGTGATTTCAGTGCTAGAGTGCCCAGGGATTTTGAGCTACGGAAAAGAACATTTGGAAAGGAAGGGATAGTGAAAGTAGATTCAAATGGAATTGTCCCTCCTGAGCAAGTGTTCAGGACATGTTCTCATCACCACAAACTCTGTATTCCATCAAAGCAATACATGGAAGACATCATGGATGCACCCCTGCTCAGAACATTCATATCTGATTGACTACGTCATAGAGCATGCCCTGGACCACTGGGACATCCATATCACCAGAGCTATGACCAGCATAGATAAAAGCTAGACTGATCATTGTTTGATATGTTCCATCCTGTCACACCAAAACATCATAAGTAAAAGAAGCAACCAAGGAAGAGGTTCAATATTGAGTGCTTGAAAGACCTTGTTTAAAGTGACCATTTCCAGCAGTATCTTAGTGAGAAAGCCTCCAACCTCCCTGATGATCTTGACACTTGAATGCCTTTCTTGAGGCTCTCCCAATGATCATGAGGCATGTGAAGAATCTTTAGGCTTCTTTACAAAGATGCATCAGAAATGGTTTGATGAGAACGACAGAAAAATTCAAGCCCTCATTGACATAAAAGGAGACCCTTCAAAGCTTGACAGAATGACATCAACGCCAAACAGAAGCAAGACATTTATCACATTAAAGTAGAGACCCAAAGGAAAAATTTGAGAGCAAAAGAACAACTAGTGGGAGGACAAAGCAAAAGGGATCCAAAAAGCTTGCTGACATCCATGATATGCATATTTTCTTCAGCATAATAAAGTCTATGGGCCAAGCGCACAAGGAGCCATCCCTCTGAGATCCAAGGATGGACCAACACTCTTTAAAGACAGCTCTATCATCCATGCACAGTGGAAGAAACAATTTCAAGAGCTTCTGAACCAAGATTCTAATGTTGAAGATAATACTAACAAAACCATTTCACAACACCTCACTATGAATGATCTTGCAGACCCACCAACTTATCAAGAGGCCTTGAAAGTCATTGAGTAGACAACAACAAAGCATAATCCTGATGGAATACCAGGTGACATTTCTAAGCATAGTGGAAAAAAGCTGTCTCTCCAACTGCATGCTATTATTCTGAAAATCTGGAAACATGAATGGATTCCCAGTGACTTGATGCCAGATTCATAATCATATTCAACAACGGATTGGATTGCAGCAATTACCATGCCATTGTATTCCTGTCCATAGGTGGGAACATTTTTGTCCGCATTCTCCTCAATAGATTCACTCCCCTTACTGTGATAATTTTACATGAATCCCAGTGTGATTTTAGACTGGGATGGGCAAAATGGAAGATCCGGCTGGCAGCTGGACTCCATTTCCCAGCAGCCCCTGCCTGTGTTGCTGCAGGCAGTTTCCATGGAGACTCCAGCAGCAGTGGGACCATGACAGTGCAGGGTCAGGGTTTCCTTAGAGACTGGCCCCAGCAGCACTAGCAGGGTATATGGTTGGTCAGAGAGCTGCTCCGGGGCCACAGCTGGGATCTTGGTTGGTAACAGCATGGTCCAGAGCTGGGACAGAGCCATTATTTGCTATCTGCATGCCCCTGCCCAGGGCATGTTGCAGTTCTGCCTTGGCTCTGGATCATGCTGTCACTGCCACAAGATCCCAGCCCCAAAGCAGCTCCCTGCTGAACTGCATGCCCTACCAATGCCACTGGGGCTGGTCTCCATAGAAACCCTTGCCCTGCACTGTCATGGCCCTGCTGCCGCTGGAGTCTCCATAGAAACTGGCCACAAAGATGTGGGCAGAGGCTGCTGGGTAATGGAGTCCAATGCAGGCCCATTCCAGAAGTACAGTGATCTTTGTCCCTAGACAACTTCAGGAGAAGTGCCAAAAGCAACACAGATCTTTTTCATGGCATTTGATTCAATCAACAGAGAGGCCCTATGGAAGATCCTGATGATATTTGGACGCCCACCAAAATTTGTTACCATCACTAGACTTGATAATGACAACATGACAGCAACCACCTTAAGCAATGCCTCAGAGATAGAACCCTTCATTGTTATAATGAGAGTCAAGCAAGGATGCATGATTGCACCAACACTTTTTTCCCCCAACTATATCACAGCTGTTTTAAATCTCACTGCTGACAGACTTCTATCTGGAGTCACCATAAGTATCTCATGGGCAGGAATCTCTGTAACATCAACCAGTTATATTCCACATCCAAGATAACCAATACTTCTATTATTGACCTTCATTATGCTGATGATTGCGTTGTGTGTGCATACTCAATTGAAGAGCTCCAGGTCACTCTCAACTGCTTCTCTGAAGCATATGAGATGCTTGGATTCAGTGTCAGCTTCACAAAAACCAAGATACTTCACCAACCTACTCCAAACCATCTATCTGCTTCCCCACATATTACAAATAGAGTGTAGTCCTTGAAGAATGGAGATGGTTAAATTTCCACTGCATAGGAAATGCTTTCCCAGTAAGTAAGCATAATGATATTTAACATAGAATAAAATTTGTGAGAGCTGCTTTTGACATCTCCAAAATTGTCTTTGATCATGACATCAGGACCCAAACTCAACTTCTTGTCTACCAGGCTGTTGTCACTCCCACCCTGTTGTATGGATATGAAACCTGGACAACTTACTGAAAACACCTGAAAGCCTTGGAATGTTGCCGTAAGCAACATCTTTGGAAAATCCTCCATATCAACTGGAAGAACAGAAGAGCAAATGCTAGTGTTGTGACAAGCATTGAAGCCATGTTTATACATCACCACCACCATTGCACCTCATAAGGATGTCTGACAACTGGCTCCTGAACCATATCCTATACTCCTAACTCACTAACGGTCCCTACTCTAGAGTTGGGCAAAAGAAGAGATTCAAAGGTACCTTGAAGGCCAATCAGAAAAAAGGTGACATTAACATCACTACCTAGGAGACCTGAGCACTGAATCATCCCCAGTTGTACCATGAAGTATGACAAGGCAGCAACCATTTTGAGCAAATTCATCTCACTATGCAGGCAAATAGGTGAGCTAGACAAATAGAAAGAGCTGTGACCTCAGATCACTAGGATCTATGTCTGCAGTCAAAAATGCAGATCTCAGATCTGCCTCTTCAGTCACCTCCAGATTCACCAGTGACTTCCATAGCTACTGGAAGACTGTCATCTTTGTAGATACAAACAATTTATTTATTTAGATTTTTATAGCGCCAAATTTCAACCCTCTAAATACAAGCAATCAGTGCTCACATTCCAGCCATTGGTTTTAGTATTCACATTGAAATAACTTAGTCACCCAACTGCATCTAAAATCCCAGACCAACTCTTTTTCCTTCCCCAGATAAGCACAAAACAAGAATTAGTTTTGCAGCATTTCTAAAAAGTTAACAACTCTTTAGGTTCTGAACTCTTTAGGTTTTGAAAAGTTAACACACTCTTATATCAGAGGGAGCCCTGCTTTTCCATTGAAAGTTAACGGCAAAATAGTGCTGATCACAATTTGTCTGTTTACACACACGCATATAGACAGCAGTCAAGCCACTCATGGGGACTTAAATTTGTTGTCATGTTTGAACCCCTTTTGTTTCTTCCTATTACATCCAAGATTGGTGTTTTTCACTGTATGATCTTCAACAATATCCTGTCCTCCTGATCTCTACTACTAAATCACTGGTCTTTAACCTCCTCTTCTCTTTCCCTAACTACTACAGCCCACTCCTCTTTCACCTAGAGAATTCTTACCTCTCTTACATAACCCAAATACATTTGCAAAAATAATCTTGCCTGCTTGCTGCTTCCCCCTCACCTTTGAATTTCTGCATTAGGTTCAGATGACATTCTGCATCAGATGCAAACTCTTGAATTTTACCTTTGAAGCACTCTGCAGCTTTGTGCCAGTTCACACCTTTCATCTACAATGTGTGCGCCTCATCACCAGGGATCCTGGTTTTCCCCTGATAAACCAAAAAACAAAAAAAACACACCCAACTCTGATTCTCTGATAAAAACAGCAAAATCCATGATTAAAATGAAAGGCCTCTGTGCGCGTGTGTGTGTGCGCGCGTGTGTGTGTGTGTGTGCGTGTCAGTTGAACACCATTTTCTTGATACATTTACAATTTTAAAGCAAATTGGAAACCTACCAGTGGCTCAAACACAATAATAAAGATCAATTCTAAATACCTATACATTTTGGTATCTGATTTTAGGTTTTTTTTTAAATCATGGAAAAAACTCAGAGCACTCCCTGCCCCCTTAGTTCACAGAATACAGGCCCAGGTCCCTCACTCCCAAGCCACAGCCCCCCAGCCCTGCTGGTGCCCCTCACT